GAGTAAATTTAATTGCTCCATAAAATTGATATTTATTCTAAGAAAAATAATTAATCAATCATTTTTTTATACTTCACAAAATCAACATTACAGATAATACATTCTGAAGTATTTATTTTATTATTAGTYTTAAAAATTTCTTTGGAATATTAATTGATTTCTATTTTAAAATTGAACATTTGTATAGATAAACTTCATATTTTGTGTTGTAGATTTGTTATAGGTTTAATTATTATTCAAATTTTAAAAGACCCGCTCATAGTTACCTGAAACAATTGCAATATTTTTTTATGCATGTATTAAAAGAACACCTATTATAAGTAATATTTTATAATAAATCTGATAAATAGTTTATTRAAAGTTGTTTTCAACAATAATAACTATATTTTAATATGTTAACTAATAAACATCTTAAAAGAAAATACCATATGTAATGTTACTCTGTAATTTCCATCTCCCCATTGGCTGAATAAAACTAATATTAATCTAATTCTTAATTTTATAATTGGATATGATTAATGAGCAAAAAAAGATCTTGTTTTGAGTACAAGAGAAAATTGTAATTTACAATATTTTCAGTATAAATAGAATTCGGTTCTCTGAATTTGTAATTTTCTAGCACTAAATATTTTTGATTGTTTAAATGTATTATGCAAAAAAACAAATAAAATAAATAAATGTTATACAAAATGTTACTTAAAATAATTAGATAGGCAATAAAATATTRTACATGCTGTACTATGATATTTATTTTTATTCAGTAATGATGTGTAGATAATAAATTCGTTAATTTTTTAAATTTAAACTATCGAATTTATTAACCTATTTTAATTAAATTTTAGTAAAGTTATTTAATATTTTGATGATATGAAATAGATTGATAACTTAATCTGATAATTTAACATAAAAATTAAATGTTTTGTGATTAATAAATAATAATCATTGTACTTAGCAATATGCTAATCTAGCTTAATGTAAATGTGTTTGAAAATATTTTATAATTTTATGGTACCTACATAGTTAAAACTTATGATTATGTTWATCATTAATGTAATTGATTCATTTAATGTAATCATTACAATTATTACTGAATACTGGTACCTGTTTCATTCAACCTATGTTGTGTTTTAAATTAATAAAGTATTTATTTTCAACTATTGAATTGTAGTCTAATCATTATAAATTCAATAGGAAATGAAGCACTCTTTAATTTATTTTTTACTCTCTTTAATGAACAGAATTATTCATGCTAGTTTAATTTTTAGTTAAGACGTTACAAGTACACAAGAACGGATTGGGATAAAAATTCTGCCCGGGAAACCTGTACCTAAGCCGGTCCTTTATGAAAAAAAATGCTCCTTAATCTGTTTTTAATAAATTTTAATGTCGAAAATATTCGTTCACATGCTACCTACACAAAACGCAAATGGTATKAATCAATATCGTAAATTTTTCGTTGGTATTATCTATTGAATATGTATAAATAGCCATTTATATCCAGTGTGGCAGTGTATCATGCTTTTCGTGAATGGATAGAGTAACGGTTAAACTTAATTCCATTTTAATTTAAAAAAAATTAAAAATGTAAAAAAATAACTTTTTGTAGATTGAGTGACTATTTGTTTTCGTAGACTGAGTTACTAATACTATATACCTAACACTACTCTGACTCTTTTACGATATAATTGTGCATCCCCACGCCGCGCGCCGCCTCGATAACAAGTAAAGATTACATATAGCTGAAACGATTAAACGATAAGGAACATTATTGGTCTTWATAGGTGAAGGTAATAAACTAATAACTAATAGGTATGAATCCCAATACGCCTAAACAATTATCTAATCTAATTTATCTAATATTATAGCCTATAGATGTGGAAAATAAATATATTATATATAACACATGATTCTTATGAGACTTAAATTCTCGATTAAAGACTCGATTTTCGAACTCTTGACATAGTACCCACACTTTTACACCTCGACATGAGAAAGGTTAGTATAACAGAGGGTGACACTTCAAATGGTCAGGGAGAAGAGCATGGTTCACAAAGCACAGWGTCACACCCAACCACATATTTACAGAACGTAATACTGTCAACGACATTATAGCAGTACTTGTAAGTGCTTGTAAGCAGAAACGGCCACACAGTATTATGCCAAGCTTTACTAGATTTTGGATAGCAATCGTATTTTATCACATCATCTTTGGCAGCAGAACTAGGTATTGATAGAATAAATACTCGAGTGATCGTTACCTAACGGTATCTCCTCAGCAGAAACAACTGTGCAACTATCAGCGAGAAAGCCGAGTTCATTGAGTCATCGCGCTTAAACAATAAGCCATATCAAATTAGTGCATTGGTCGCACCACGTATTACCATTGACCTACCCGTTGGTAAAATTAACACATCAAATTGGCATCATTTACAAGGTGTACAACTAGCCTACCGAYGTTCCATTTATCAGRCAAAATTGATTTACTCATAGGAGCTGAAATGTTTTATGAAATTGTACAAGATGGTAAACAGTTTGGACCAGAAGGTGTTCCAGTACTATAAAATTCAAAGTTTGATTGGATTGTTGCCAGTCGCAGCAGCAACAGTACAAAACATTTTTGGAGGGTTGAAGAAATTCCTAGAATGACGATTATGTCAAAAGAAGATCATCTTTGAGGAGACCCCTTTCTTAAAATATTCAAACGCAATGAAAGTGGACGTTACATTGTACAATTGCCATTTAAGGAGACTTCACAATCAGTGAACAATTCATATGACGTTGCTGTAAGAAGGCTCGCTCAGGTGCAGAGATTTCTTCTTCGAAATCCATCTGTGTACAACCAGTATCGACAATTTATGACCGACTATCTTCAACAAAACCATATGAAATTTGTAAAACTCACTGAAGAGAGTCTGATCATCTTTCTACCCCACCATCATGTCTCACGTCTATCAAGCGTCACCACCAAACTACGAGTTGKCTTTGACGGATCTGCAATCGTGTGCAATAGAAAGTCATTGAATGACACGCTACATTGAGGTCATGAGCTATAGCGTGACATAGTAAGAGTTATCACAAGATTTCGGATGCATAAATATGTTTATACTGCTGAAATATGTCAGATGTTTCGACAGGTTGGTATACACTAGGATGATCTGTGTTATCAAGGTATTGTGTGTCGAAATCACCCATTTGAAGCGATAGAACGGTACAWATTGAAAACTGTCACTTATAGTTTAATAACATCTCAATTTCATGCTCTACGTTTATTAGCTCAACTCGCTGTTGATGAACAAGCAAATTATCCAGAAGGATCCACAGTGCTAAAGAATGACTTCTACGCCGATGAAGTTATGTCGCGGCTGTAACAACATGAAAGACGCCAAAGCTCAAATACAGCAGTTAAATAATCTACTTCGAATAGGCGGATTTGATCTAAGGAAGTGGCCAGTAACACACCGGCTCTTTTAGAAAACATCCCAGCTGAACATCAACTGTTRCAGACTTTGATACCCGACCAAAACAGTGTATCAGTGTTGGAGATTTTATGGAACACAATAAAAGAAGCTTTCTCATTTAAAGTAGAACCTACACCACATTTGGAACGCATTACTAAACGTGAGCTATTAGGTGAAATTGCACGCACCTATGACCCATGTGGATGGCTGGAACCACTGACAATAGTTGCTAAGGTTCTCATATGCAACAAATTTGGGAGACTGGAACCAAGTGAAATGACCCTGTGTCAAAAGAACTCCTAGAACATTAGATTGCTCATGGRACATCATACGAACATTTACAGCAATTTGAAATTCCACGTCACGTTGGTAACATATTGGACAACCAACTAGGTTGCGTTCTACATGGTTTTTCAGACAGCTCGGAACATGCCTATGTAGCCGCTATCTACATCATAGCAGATAACACTGGRTATTTATTGGTATCAAAAACTCTGGTAACTCCATTAGTTGAAAAAGGCACATTACCGAGGCTGGGATTGTGTGGCGCTACACTGATAGCACAGTTGATGCATACACTAATTGAATCACTCCAACTGCAGTCGATGCAGTAACAATGTGGACAGACTACATTTAATTGCAGTGGATTCAATGTGACGTTAAAAAATGGACTACTTTTGTACCAAAACGAGT